ATGGTTCTAACTAAAACCATTCCTTTACTAAGGAACCCTTGAAGAGCCGTCTTTTTTAGGAGAGTATACCATACAGTACTACATTATACTATACAGTTAAAATGGTTCTTCAAGGGTACTTCAGTAAAGAAAATGTTTCTATAGAACCACAAACACTCAGAAGAACCCTTTGCATGAATAAAGCGTTCTATGTAACCATTTTTTTTTACTGAAGAACCCTTGAAGAACAATTTTTAAGTGTGTAGTATAATTTTTTGAAAGTGGTTCTCTATAGCACCAAAAAGGGTTCTTCTACTGTTATGATGTCAAGCTTGTAACAATAAAAGAACCTTTTTTTTTGGTGCTATATAGAACCATCTACAACACATTCTCCACCAATCTAAAGAACCATTTCACCATGCAAGAGGTTCTTTGAGTGTTCATGGTTGTATATAGAACCATTTTCTTTACCAAAGAACCCTTGAAGAAACATCTTTTTTAAGAGTGTATACTATACTATACTATACTATACAATACAATACTATACTATACTATACTATACTATATCAATGATGTACGCATGCGTAGTACAGCCGCTGGATGAGCAGCACAGACAGTTAGAACCCTCTGGTTCTTATCCTACTGCAGTAACGTGTGAGTGAGTGTGGTTCTGGCCCCTCTAGCCGCGGTCCGTAGCTCGCTGTACGTTCTGTCTGTCCTCATTCTGTCTGTCTCTCATGGCGAGTTTCGATGGGAAATGCCCCGTTTATACAGCACTGTGGATTGGGGGGTCCTCAGGGCGGTGTTGGGGGGGTGTTCTGGAGCCCTGGCCGTGTGAAAAGGTGACGGCTGGGCGTGTGGATTCCCGCAGATGAAAGAGTTCGGAGCGGCTGCTTTATCATGCACAGACTGCTCGGAAATCGAGTGGCGTCTGCGCAGCAGCTCGGAGCCGCGCGGCGAGGACAGAGCGCTCAGATAACGCGGTGCGGAGGCGCAGCGAGGCGGTGGCGCTGTAAAACAGTTTAGAGGAGAATTACAGCCCACAGTGAGGGCTGGAGGGGCTTATCTCCCTCACTCTGATCACAGGCTCACTATCACTGCTCCAACACAGCACGGCACTAATGCTGTTATACAGGTGAACGATCTTATGCTGTGTGTTGTTAGGTAGGTATATATAAAACATGTATGTACATATATTTTGAAGTGTATGTCTGACCTTTTTATGATATGTGAGCATATATGGCATATATTCATACACACACACACACACATATATATACCTGTTGCTCTTTACATTGTATGTAAATTTCATGATGAATGGACCAAAAGAAACGACCCAAAATGACTTGGAAAAAAGTCTGGTTCCATTGACTTACATTAAAAGTAAAGTAGGTTTTATCCTTCTCCTGTAAAGTTTTCCTTTCTGAGATTTTGGAGAGGTTTTCTTCTGAAAACAGCGATATATATATCCCAAAAAGGCAACTTATTAAACTTTTAATTGTCTTAACAGCAAATCATTTAACAAATAGATAAAGTAGCTTAGTATGGGATATTTTTCCCTTTGATTTCTATAAATGTCTTGTGTAAACTTGCAGATATCCCTGTACAGAAAGGAGAGTCAGTGTTTTCCCGCTCAGCATTGATGGCTGAAAAACATTGCCGAACTAGTTTGAGTTTAATAGTTGTGTTTAATACCAAATATTCTCTATAGGGTTCAAATCTGGACTCTGAAAATCATCAATAAAAAAAAAAAAACATTTGGGGTTTGGTCCATTATTGCCCAGGAGTGTACATGTATAAGCGTCACGTATTGGACATATGTGCTTAATATATTGACAATAGACATGTCTGGTATACATGCTGTCAGTCTGATTACAGTATGTCTGATACAAACACAAAGATTTTTTTAAAGAAAAAAAAGCCCTTATACAATATGAAGCTAGCATATATGAGTGATATATGCCATCCATATATGAATAATTCTATCATGTATTTTTAAATATATGCATTACACCTATATGTTTTTATATGTTGATATATGAAAGAAATATGTCTCATATTTAAAAATTGCCCATTTTAAGTAAGTTTGCATAAATGTCACACATATATAAGTTGGATTTATAAGAAAAATGCATTTATGCCAACATATGTCATATATTTGAAATACATATCGCTGTTATTGGAAGAAAACCATGTATCTCCAAAATAATAACTTTACAGGAGAAGGAAAAAAAATACTTTCCCCTTAATGTAAGTCAATGGAACCAGAATTTTTTCCCAATCATTTTAGGTCATTTCTTTTAGTCCATTCATCATGAAATTTACACACAATGTAAAGGACAACAGGTATTTTCAAACTATGTCAAAAACTGAAAAACGTCAAAAATGGAGATACGAAGTTTTCTTCCAACAACAGCGATATATGGCCATATATCAGATTTCCATATGGTTATGATCCACAAATTAGTACGCATTTTCACTCAGAAAAGACTAATATTAGAATAAATACAAGTAACAATAATACAATAATGTTATATGTGTATTAACTAGAGTTATCATCCAGCACCTGGTTCGGATAATCAGTGCTTCGTTATCTGGAACCAAATCTAGAACCAAACTTTGTTCTTCAGACTAGCTCACAAAATAACAACTACTTTTTAAAATAAGACTCGCTTCTTACTTTTTAGTGTTACCTGTGTTTATTTGTGTTTATTCTAATGACATATGCTGATTTCACAAGCAGAGGCACACCTGTTGCCAAGATACATGGTTTTAAATAATGTGGTGCCTAAAACTGTCTGGTCCCAAAAAGTATATCTGCCATACTTAAAAATGTCAAACCAAGTGGCATGTATTCTAAACCTTTCCAAGACAATCACTTTTACTTTATTTTTATTTTTGACGAAGTAAAAAGGCAGCTGAGTTTCAGATCGTCACCATTCAGTCAGTTTTTTTTTGGAGATCTCTGCAGATTAGCATCCAAAATGCCTTTTTACAATGAACACAAGCTCACTGACACCACTGTCAGAAAACAGCCCCCGCTGACCTTTCCTCCTCTGTGCTTTACAGTAGCCTTAGTGCAGCCTGGCTCCACAGAAAGAGTCTACCATCAGTCTGATGTGCTCAAAGTGTTTTTCTCTGAAATAAATGTCCTTTTGTTAAACATTTTTGAAGTAACATAAAGCACATTTAAGCTCAGTGATATATATATATATATATATATATATGTATATGTATATCGCTGCTGATAGAACAAAACCTTGTATCTCCATTTTTGTCATTTTTTCAGTTTTTTACATCGTTTGAAAATGCCTGTTGCCTTTTACATTGTGTGTAAATTTTATGATGAATGGATTAAAAGAAAAGGCCCAAAATGACTTGGAAAAAGAGTCCGGTTCCATTGACTTACATTAAAAGTAAAGTGGGTTTTTTCCTTCTCCTGTAAAGTTACCATTTTGGAGATATGAGGTTGTGTTCCGACAGCAGTGATACATACATATACATATATATATATATATATATATATATATATATATATATATATAGTATTTGCTGTACATCCCCCTTTTGCTTTAATGACAGCGTACACTTGAGCTGGCATGGACAATGTATACAGTCGTGCAAACACAAGCTTCAGTGGAAGAGAAAAGACTCAACATGGTCAATGTCACAAATTTGTTTACATTTAAATAGCGACCTAGAAGTAATCACTAGAGTTCTTCATTCAAATTTTACATTTCTTTGTTTTAATCATATATATATATATATATACACACACACACACATATAAAGCCATGAAAACCCTGGATGTGTATTTGTGTTATTGTGTTGGGGGAGATTTATAGACAGCAGGAGTGGAAGTGTCAGATATCAGATGTATGGACGCCTTTATTCCTTTATTCAAATTAGGATCCCCCCCACCCCACCCCACCCCACCCCCACCTTGTTCTGGTTTATTGCAATAAAGCATAGACCAGAGTGAAAAGCGGATTTTACGCATGTGAACTTCGATGGAAATTACTTTTTTCCAAGTCGTTAACTCCTTTATGCTCTCTCCCTCTCTCTCTCCCTCCCTCTCTCTCTCTCTCTCTCTCATGCTATCTTGGCCTTCTGACTTTTTGTTCTGTAAAAATCCCCAGAAAATGAGAAACTGACGCACCAACGTGTCGATTAACAAACCTATCGAGCTTTTTCTTCCACGCAAGCTCCTCTTTCTAATCCTAATGTAGGTCTACCAGAAAAACAGGCTGCACAAACGGACGGTTTTCGCGTGAACCCTCCAGAGCCTCTGCCCCCATCTGCTGCCCTCTCCTGTTTTCCTGCACATCAGCAGCTCTCCTGCTTCCTTTCCGCTCCACTTTATTCTTACCTTCAGCTCCTCCCCTTTAAAATACGCTCATTTTGTTTACCACCCGTATTCCGTCCAGGCCCGCCTCCTGTGCTAGGATTGGCTGATAGGTCACGTTTGCGCTCTAGGACTGGCAGACTGCTTGTAAGCATAAACGACTGGCCAATCTGAGTACACGACGTCACACTGCAAGCTGATCCCTATAGCGCAAGACGCGGAACGCTACTGGCCAATCAGGGTGAAGAAAGCGTGACGCTTATCAGCCAGTCTTAGCTCAGGGGGCGCGGCTTGGCGGAATACGGGTGGGGAAAACAAACCCAACGCGTAAAAGCATGTGCGTAGAGGAGCGCTGGAGTGAGTTGCGGAGGGGATCAGAGCAGCATGAGTCTAAAGTTAGGAGTCAGGAGCGCTAATCCCCAAATGAATGCAGCGCTTAGCTTTTTAACGACATGTGTTTTAACGCTTCTGTCAGTCTAAGACTGGGAATAACCCTCTATCTGCACTTAAATAGCTTTTTCTTTTAGTTTTGAATCAGATGTCACACTGATTTGAGCGGTTTTAAGGCTTGTATAGGCGGTTTTCCATGTTCTGGCAGAGCTTTTGCTTGCTGTAGTCAGTTTGGAGGTTAAACCGAGTGGACTGGTGGCCTGTAACGCCCTGTATCTTTCCTCAGAGGAGGCTGCCTGCTGCCGGACGGAGAGGCATGGATGCGAGCCAGAGCCTGCGCTTTATCCTCACCATCACCCTCCTCGCCTGCAGCTCCCAGAGACTGGCGCACGCGAACTCGTGGTGGTAAGATCATGCATGCCTGGTTCATCAAGTTAGAGTCCGTGATAAGACCTGTTGTGTGACCTGTTGTGGCTCCGCGTACAAGGAACCGAGAACAAATGTGGAGGCTTTTGTCACAATGTTTACCCTGGAGCCCCAAATGGTCAGCCTGTTTGTAAATAGGGACAGCAGCACCCAACAACAGGACGCGTCTTGACCTTGTGTGTGGACTTTAGGAAGAGCTGGGCTCACAGTTGGAGCTGGTGTTGAAATGTTTATGGGCTGCTTGTACACAGAGGAGCTTAAAGCATCATCCTCAAGTAACAGTGTCCAGACTTGGACTGAGTAGAAGTGAAAGTGGCTATGAAGAGATAACTAACCGAAAGATAAGTATTACTTAAGTACTGAGATTCTTAAAGAATTTCAGTGAAGCTAATCAACTATATCCAGCATCTATCTGTATGGGCACTGGAGTCTGTTAGCTGCTATTCTTCTCTATCTAGTAGCCTTCAATCTTTTTGCTCTAAAGCAAAACAGAATGAAATTAAACCCAAAAAAAGGAGCTAAATGTGAAGGAATGTTCTCGCAAATGTACAAGCAAGAAGATAAGCAACAGATTACATCCAGAAAAGTATGTGAAAACTATATTTAAGCACATAGAGCTGAGTCAACAACCCACTTCTGCTTATAACTTTAAAACTGAACTGAAAGGTAGGACTATTGCTGTTTTAATTAGCCAATGAAATGTCTTATTTCAGCCCTATTTGCATAAAATAACACCCACCATAGCACCGTGAAGCTGCAGCGCTCCTTAACATTTCAACGGCCAGATTTGTTTAGTTTTAAACTGATGCTGATGATAACGTGATGATAAAATACTTCAGCTTTATCTTTAAAGCAGATCTGTTTAAAATTAGCCAATAAAATGCCTTCATTTGCATACAGTGCCAAACTTTATAGCCTGGCAACAAAGTGAAAGGGGAATTCCAGCATTATCTTTTTCAGAATTTCTGAATAATTCAGTCCTAGAGATGTAAACAAAGTCATTCAGAGTGGTTTGATGTGAAGAAACTTACTCAGGTTGCTTTACAGTGGTGATGATAGGAACCAGGAGTCGCCATGACTACAGCACAAATATAGCCATTTTATTTACTATCCAAAACCACCGGTGAACCTACACGAGTCTTCTAAGTATTTAAGGTTTTGTATGTAATGTTTATGGTGATATAGCAGAAAATCTGAAAAAAAAAATTGGGGGGGGGACTATTTTGCCTTACAACATCCTTCATGTATCCCTCCGCCATGAATGGATTAAAATACATTGGTTAACAACACCGTTTAGGCCAAAAATGTATCACAAAACTATCATAAAACAATGTCCAGGCATGAGGCTGAGTGTGTTCATGACCATTTAGTGTAATAACTTTCTGTAAGGGAACTTTTAGAGGTGGACGTCTGGTTCCTATCACAACCACTGTGAACAATTCTGACTCTTAAGTTTCTCTAGAATAGAGCACTTCACACCAAACCATTCTGAATGACTTTGTTTACACCTGAACCACCTAATTATGTGGAAATTTTTGAAAATTTGGTGGAGTTCCCCTTTGATACAGTCAGTTTCCAAGACGTTCAGCTGGCCTTATGGGTTGTGTTGTTCTGCATATCGTGTTTTTGGTGAATATAGTTGAGAAACTGTGGAAACTATGAGCTGCGGTGTAGAGATGTTGTGCGGATGGCAGGTTAACGCGCCGCTCTGGTCTTTTGGCGCAGGTCTTTAGCCATGAACCCTATCCAGAGGCCGGAGATGTACATCATCGGAGCTCAGCCGCTGTGCAGCCAGCTGACGGGTCTGTCCCAGGGCCAGAGGAAGCTGTGCCAGCTCTACCAGGACCACATGGTGTACATCGGCGAGGGGGCCAAGACTGGCATCAAGGAGTGCCAGTACCAGTTCAGGCAGAGGCGATGGAACTGCAGCACCGTGGACAACACGTCTGTGTTCGGCCGGGTCATGCAGATAGGTGAGTGCTAAGCTGTGGTCAAGCTCACCTCTGCTTAGGTTCTGGAGTGGCAAACTGGCATTAGAGTCTCATTAAGTTGGAACAAAAGCGCTGTTTTAGCCACCAGGAGCTTTTTGTTCGGATGTTCCCGTTCCACCTTAAATGGTTCAGCAGTTATATTACATTTAACGGCGCTGTTTTTGCCACAAAGAGCTTCTTGTTGGAATTTTCCCGTTCCACCTTAAATGGTGCAACAGTTACAGTGTGTTCAAGGGCGCAGTTTTAGCCACCAAGGAAAGTTCGAACAGTAAGCACCCTTGAATGTAATATAACTGCTGCACCATTTAAGGTGGAACGGGAAAATTAGACTAAGAAGCTCTTGGTGGGTAAAACAGCGACATTGAAAGTAATGGAACTGTTACACCATTTAAGGTGGAACGGGAAAATTCGAATAAGAAGCTCTTGCTGGCGAAAACAGCGCCATTGAATCTAATGTAAGTGCTGCGCCATTTAAGGTGGAACGGGAAAATTCGAATAAGAATCTTCACCATCGTCACCAGGAGCGAGCCCGCTGGTCTTTTTTCTCTCTCTCTTTATTTCTGAATCGATAAGGACATGCATCGGCATTGCGTGCATACAAAGGACCATCTTCCCTTATAGCAGCAATTGAGTGTGAGTTCCGCTCGGCAGTGCAGTGAGGTGTAAGAGAGCCCCCTCTGCCCCCCCTCCCCAATCAGTTCAGGGCTCTTGGTGTGGAGGTGCTAGGCGAGCCATTGTCCTTTTCAAATGCAGCCCCGCAATGACACGGGCTCGGCAGATCCGGGCTTTCTGTTTGAAGTCTCGCACCAAAGGCCAATAAAAGCGGCTCTGTGCGTCGAGGAGGCGCAGCGGAGGAATGTGGGCGCACTCACACGCGGTTTATGGGGGGCCAGATTAGTGTATTTGGGGATAAAGTTGGCGAGGACTGTTGCTTTCCCCTCGAATCAAAGAGAGCAGATTACTGACACTTATTTTATTTACCTGCAGGGTAAATCCAGGTATTATAGGTAGGCAGGTAACGTGGCACAGCGTGTATAAGGATTATACAGCCGTAAGTGTGAACAGAGGTTAACACATCCTCTGCAGAGAACATGGAACTTAATTAGCATTTTTCTGCAAGTTTCAGTGCACAGTGTCTATTTATTTGGAAAATGAATAAAACATGAAATATTAAATGTGCCATAACTTTTGCACAGGCCACAGTTTGTGTTTTAATTTTTTCCAATGTGTTAAATTCAGCAAATAAACAGCAATTGTACATTAAAATGTGCAGCAGTGTGTAGAGGATGTGTTAACATATTTTCATTTAGGAAAATAACAATACATGTCGTCCCAAAGTGACTCAGATGTTGCATCTTGTAAATTGTAAATGCAATTGATATAAACAAGAAGCGTGTTTCTATTATTCTGGCCACACATTTTTAATTGTGGTCACAAGATTCATTGCTTGATGGTGTGTTAGGTATTATACAACAGTGTTAAGTATTATGGGACAGTGTGTTAAGCATTATGGACAGTGTGTTAGGTGCTATGGGACAGTATGTTGAGTATTATAGACAGTGTGTTAGGTTTTGTACGACAGTGTGAAGTATTATAGGACAGTGTGTTAGATGCTCTGGGATAATGTGTTAAGTATTATCGGACAGTGTTAGGTATTATAGGACTGTGTTAGGAATTATCGGACAGTGTGTTAAGCCTCTGCTCAGGTTCTGGAGTGGCAAACTGGTATTAAAGTCTCATTAAGTTGGAACAAAAGCGCTGTTTTAGCCACCAGGAGCTTCTTGTTCGAATGTTCCCGTTCCACCTTAAATGGTGCAGCAGTTACATTACATTCAATGGGGCTGTTTTTGCCACCAAGAGCTTCTTGTTGGAATTTTAAATGGTGCAACAGTCACAGTGCATAACACACAGTGTGTTAAGTATTATGGACAGTGTGTTGGGTGTTACAGGAGAGTGTGTAATGGGACTTTATGTTAGGTGTAATGGGATGTTGTGTAAGGCATTACGGGGCACTGTGTTAGGTATGATGGGATGGTGTGATAGATACTATAAGTCAGTGTGTTAGGTATTATAGGACAGTGTCTTAGGTATCATGGGACAGTGTGATGGGTGTATGGACAGTGAGTTAGGTATTATGGGACTGTGTGTTAGGTGTAATGGGATAGTGTGGTAGGTGATATGGGATGGTGTGTTAGGCATTATGGGACAGTGTGTTAGGTATTATAGGACTGTATTAGGTATTATCGGACAGTGTGTTAAGTATTATGGACAGTGTCTTAGGTATTATGGGACTTTGTGTTAAGTGTAATGGGATGTTGTGTAAGGCATTACGGGGCACTGTGTTAGGTATGATGGGATGGTGTGTTAGGTACTATAAGTCAGTGTGTTAGGTATTATAGGACAGTGTCTTAGGTATCATGGGACAGTGTGATGGGTGTTACGGACAGTGAGTTAGGTATTATGGGACTGTGTGTTAGGTGTTAGAGGATGGTGTGTTAGGTGTTGTGGAACAGCATGTTAGATATTATGGGACAATGTGTTAGATATTACGAGACAAAATGGGACAGTGTGCTAGATGATGTGGCAATGTGTGAAATCCTTGAACTCCAGGCTTATTATTCAGTGATTAATACTAAGACGTGTTATTCAGTAACTACTATACATTATTCAATAACTAGAAAGGATTTAATATTTAAGAGTTTAAGGCAGTGGTCACCAACCTTGGCCCTGGAGATCTACCTTCCTGCACAATCTACATTCAACCACAGCTTACCCCACCTGCTCCAGTTAATTAACTTGATTGGATGGTTCAGATGCCTTAGTGTTAGGTAAGAAGGGGGCAGTTTGTTAGATACAGGTTGGAACTAAACTCTGCAGGAATGTAATTTTCCAGGATTAGGGCTGATGTCCACTGGTTTGAGGGGTTAAGGAATATGGGACAGCGTAGTTGGTCATATCTCGTATGGGACACCAGTGTCATAGGCATCAATGGTAAGGCTATACAGTATCTTAACCTGTTACCCAAATTGCATAATCTGAAATAAAAATAAACACGTTTTCTTAAGTGCGCTCTTATTCTCTGAAGGCCCATAATCCCTGCATTCGGAGACCGTAATGGTTTGTACGGTTTGCGTGTACCCGTGTAGCGTTTAAAGTCCTGTGCAGGACAGACTTCCGTTATTAATGCTGTGCTGTTAAGCACTTGTAGGAAGTGCTTAAATACAGTCTTGCATGTGCCGTTGAGTTATGTGAAAGCTGCATTCCAGATGCTTGATACATGGATGGAAACACATCAGGTACCATGTGCACGGCAGATGTGAAAATATGCGAGAGTGAATTTATATAAAGCTCACGCCTTTGTGGCAGGAAACCCCTGCAGACCATGTCACTGTTTTCCTCGCCTCATATGAAGGCTGCTAAACCTGTCCACCCATCGTACTTACTCTCCCATGGCTCAAGTTGACGGCTTCGGACTCTGCCAAATAGCGGACCTCTGTGTATGAACGGTTTGAGAATGTTCAGATGGCCACTGCATCTCTGTGTTTTTGTAAATACTTAATTGGTGAAAAATGCATTGTTCATTGTTGAGTTTTCAGCAGGCCAAAGAAATCTGTTTGCTACAACTGTACCAGATCTTGTGGTCATGTACAGATGCATACAGTGCTGTATGTATTTCTCAGTTCTCTCTAGGAGTTTTGGGACTATAAATAAAGAGTAAACCCTGCTGAGCATTCAGCAGATCAAATTTAGAGTAAAAGAAGAAAGGAATAAATCGCAGTGAGGGATTAGCAGACCAGCTTTGAGCACAAAGTTCTGCGTTTTGAGTAGCTATAGCATCAGTGTTTCGCCGATGCCTAATTACTGGGACTCCTGCAGAAGAGTTTATTTGGATGGTCCACTGTAGATGCTTTATAGATACTCTCCTTCTTTTACTTGTGTTCAACTAAATGTCTTTTAAATCCAATATTATGATGTTTCCCTAACCCTAAACCTAACCTTGGTCCTGTTCGGGGGTTAAATTGGACCGGAGCACACCTTTAGTTCATGCAAATGGCAAATAGAGCTGCGCTCTGGTACTGTCATTTGATGGAAGAGTACATTTCCTATGCATTCTTCATTAAATCCATTTAACTATTCTATGTGAGAACAATAACGCCCCCGAGATTGTTTTTTGCCTCTGTACATTTAAGGCACGTCCCCCTTGTATCATTTTACTGATTTTCAGCATCATGTCAGTATAAATTGAACTCTTTCTGTGGTTTCACAGTGTTTTAATTTACTAAAAAGGTATTCGTTATGCCTCAGCCTTTAATTGGCCTAGATTATTTGATTTTATTTATCCTGTTAGTTGTAACTTACTTGTAAAGCATGCTTCGAATTTGATTAGTCAGCATTGAAAACTTGGCAGTAAAGTGGTGCACAGATGTGAACCCTTACATAAGGTTTGTGGATAAACTGTACTATCTCTACCACTATCTCTTGAAAACAGGAGGCCACTGCTCCAGGGATGCAGTTAACAAGCATACAGAACTGTTTGGGATGCTTTGGTGTGACTGTCATCTTAGTTAGAAGAGAATCTAAAGATATTTTGATATAGATTTGACGCTATTATTTTTAATCACATTTTCATGACATCACTGCTGAGAACTCCATACAATACCACATACAGTGAACAATATTCACTGCATTGTTAACATCCATGTACAAAAACAGCATTTCCCAGTTTAAGCCTTGGGCCTGTTCCGAATCCTAAAACCCACACTTCTTATGATCACTAGACTTCGTTAACAATTTAAGAATTTGTAGTATAAGCTATAGGGGACCATTAACCCCTTAAATGGCCTTAAAGTTTTATTACACACTTCTATAATCTATTAATAAAGTCTATAATTAAAGTCCCTGCATTGTTATTCAGTAATAAGCCTGGGATTTTAAGGGGTTACTCTCCAGACTGTGACTTCATGGTCAGTGTCTGTGTTACTGTGTTCTCCAGGCAGCAGAGAAACAGCATTCACCTACGCCATCAGCGCTGCAGGTGTGGTGAACGCAATCAGCCGGGCGTGCCGAGAGGGTGAGCTGTCCACCTGCGGCTGCAGCCGAGCGGCACGGCCCAGAGACCTGCCACGGGACTGGCTGTGGGGCGGCTGCGGGGACAACGTCAACTACGGCTACCGCTTCGCCAGGGAGTTTGTGGACGCACGGGAGCGGGAAAAGAACTACCCACGAGGCTCCACAGAGCACGCACGCACGCTAATGAACCTGCAGAACAACGAAGCTGGGCGAATGGTGAGAGACTGAGTATTTTTACCTGTACGGAGTTGATGTGTCCTGCACATGTTATGTCCGTGGTTATGTCAGTGTAATGTAGCAGTGTTCAAGTAAATTGTCACCACTTCTTCAGTATTGACGCCACGGAAAGCTGAAATAGACAAACATTATCTAACCAGTGTAAATGCTGGCACTCTTCAACCATGGCAAATTAGCAGTGTTAAAACTGTGTTTTAACATATTGCAAAGCACAGCACAAACACATTATGCAGCACTGTAATTGCAATATTATTTTTGTCCATATTGTGCAGCCCTAGAGACCATAATATGTTAGAGTAAGCAAGAACAAAAGCATCATCTATTAGACCAGAAGGAAGTCCCAGATACACAGTGGTGCTGGTGCATGCCAGAGCCTCTTAATAGTGTTTTGGTTTTATAGGAGCGTGAAACCGGCCTGGAAACCCGAGCGCCGTGCAAACATAAACCAGCTTGTTTAGTGTATGTTTTGTGCGTGAGCAAGGCTGGAGCAGTCCACATGTCTCCGGTAGACCAGAACAGAACATCAGCACTCTCTGTGAATAGTGGCCTAATAGTCTGAACCAGAGGGAGAAATAATTTACTGGAAGTGACCAAATGGCCTCTGCGCAAGGCTAATGCCCTTGGAGTCTGGTCAGGGTCAGAAGGTCAAAGCGCATTCCTTTTCCACGGCCAGGCTCTGGACTTTACCCAACAAGACGCATCTCCCTTTTCTCTCTAATCCCACTTCTCAACCTACAGTTGGTGAAAAAGTAATGCATTGAATCGACTTGATTCAAATGTGTTTTTGCAAATAAAATATATGACATATGTATAATATATGACAACTTACTTTTAGTGCCAAAAGCTACTTAGTTTTAGTGCCAAAAGTAAGTAAACTGAAAGACGTTGATATAGTTAGTTTTATACACGTGGAAACATCAATACAATTTTGTCTTTCAGTTCACAGTAACACTTTAGAGTGGTCCTTTGTAGATGATTAATAAACTCTCAACAGATTATCAGTAACACATCAACAACCTATCAGTGAAGTAGCTGTAGTGAAGCATCTGAATACACTGAAGTAAATAACTTGTAGATGTTTTGTTGATACATTACTTACATTAAGTAGATGTGTTGTTAATATTTTACTTCTATTACGCAAAACCTAACCTTACCAACCTTACCCAAATCCTAACCCTCACCCTGGCCCTAATCCTAACACTAACCTTAACCTCAACTCAAAACCTAACCCTAACCCTCATATGTCTTTGACTTGTTACTGAAAGTCCATTGAGTGTTTGTTATCTAACAAGGACCACTTAAAATAAAGTGTCACCCAGTTCACTTACATTTGGCAGTAGTTGTGTTGCTGTAAACGTTTTCCCATACTTATCTTCCTCCATCTCATATCTGCTTACCTTACTTAGTTTATATTTGTAACAGAATTATTTACAGTAGTTATTGCCAAATAAGCCTTAAGATTATCATGAACATTTTCCGGTTGAATTTAGTCCTGTTGAATTTAGTGCAGTACAATATGTGAAATGTTAAATTGTACTTTTTTATAGGACTTTTTAAACATGTAGGCCTACTGGTTACTTTTTCTCTGTTCCAGCTTATCAAACCTCAGAAAAATGAAACATCGAGATGCATGTATTGTGATATTTATGCCATATCGACCACCCGTACTGAAATATAAGCCTTGAGTTAAGCGGTCAGCGAAAGTCAGATTAGACCTCATGTTGAGTACGCTTCACTTGAATCCTCACACAGCGGTGAGCTGACGACTGTTTGCCCTTTGTTTGAAGAAGCCCCTGGTTGTTGATTTCTTTGATCTGCTGCATGTAAGAGGAAAAAGAAAAGTCCCTGAATCCCTTGCCCAGTTTCTTTGTGTGCCTGTGTGCAGGGGAGCCTGGCCAGAGGCAACTGCAGCCTTTTGATGCTCTCAGGTGGGTGTAAAGCGTGGGGCTGCCTTATCGTCTCGCTGAGCCCTGCTGCAGAATGTCGGCGCAGCTCCAGGCCAGGCAGGAATGTGCTCTGGGTCGTGCGGTGCTCGCTGGCAGGCCGCGCCCCTGTGGCCATCAGAGCAGTCCCCTGAGTGCTTTTCGCTATGACACACGGCGTCATAAAAAGTCCATTTGCCTGCTGATGTGGGTGCGGAGTGCGGCGGAGCTCTGCTCTCACCCTGTTTGTTTTTGGCCAGATGAGCTTGTTTAAGGTGTTTACAGAGGAGATGGCCTCTCTCTGGGTTATGGCACTTCCCAGCGGCTCCGCTCTCCAGGTGAGGAGGTCAAGGCCTAGATGAGTCCTGTGAAAGGAAGCAGGGGATGCCCCCTAATGTTTGGGTCTGAGTGGGGACCGGTTATAAATGAGTGAGAACTGGAGTATCTGGGAGGTCAAACGTAAACGGTTCTGCTGAGCTCTGTACAGTGGTGGTGACTGGAACCAGGGGTTGCAGTGTCTACAACACAAATATACCTGTTTTATTTACTAACCAAAAAGACCAGTGAACCTACACATCTTCGTTTTTGAAGATAATGTTGATAATGGTGAAATAGTGGATTTTAATAATACATTTTAGACCAAATCATTATCAGTACTATCAGAAAACTGTCAGTGTATTCATGACCATTTCATGTCATAACTTTCTGTGAGGGAACTTTTAGAGGCATTAAACTCTTCAGACGTTTGGACATCACAACTGCAAAACAATCTGACTTAATAAGTTTCTCTTGAATGATTTACCATTTAATTATGCAGAAATGCTGAAAAATGGATGGAATTCCTATTTAACCCTTGTGTGGTGTTGGGGGTTCTGGGGGACCCATTTTCAATGTTTACCAAAAGAAAAAATGATGCGATTTATTATTATCTCAACCTCAGATTCTTGTCCTTTGCTCATTTTCTGTGAAGAACATATAAAATAACCCATTTTCAGTGTCTTCACTCTGTTCACCCCCCACACATTTATATTACACATGTGGTGTTGGGTGAAACTGCAGGGAATAAAAGTGTGGAGGTGCTGTGTCCTTCACTCTGTTCTCCTCCTACATGGCCTGCTGTTAGTGTGTGTGTCTGTGTTTGTATATGTGCATGTGTGTGAGGGTGGACAACATGGACAGGCTGCTGACTGGCTACAGCTGCTAAAGGAGAACCCTACACTGGACACTTGTGATATTTTAAACATCTGGTATTTTTACAAATTGTTATGGCCGAATTGATATAATTGCACGGTGGGTCCACCAGACCACTGAGTAACAAAAACATCAACACCACACAAGGATTAAGACTTAGCATTCAGTAAGTGCTATGAAACTACTGTTTAATTTATGTAGTTATGAGCCAGAGAAGTTTTATGATCCTTAGGGTAGGACAAGAACTGAAAAGAGAAGTGGTGACGGTCTGAATCGATAAACATTATCAATAAGAGTAGAAGTATGGATCAAATACTAATGATACCATCTCTGCAAGCTCTGTGGAGCCGAAGAGCCTCGGATGACCTCTCTCCAACCCTTCGCTTTTCTTCCCCCTGAAGAGTTATTGGCTGCCGGGTCGATGGAGAGGAGCTTTTATTGTTGCCTTTTCTTGCCTTTTTTTTCTTGAACTGCCCTCGCCCTCAGAGGAGGAAGAGGGTGACCCCAGGGCGGGCGTGGAGAGGGCGTGGCGCGGCGCCACTTCATGCGGCCGTTGCCCCGGGCGACCCCTCAGCTCTTTGCTGGCGGCTCTTTTTTGCTCGGCTTGTTTGCTGGAGATTTGTCTTGCGTGGAGAGGCTTAGTGCTGGCAGGCCTTTGTGCAGGTGACAGAAGCGTATCGGGGGCAATAGATATAGCCTCCCCGATGCCTCACAGCTCACGGCCTTGAGGTTAGGGGGTGCTTTGGCGAGGTATAGTGTGTGTGGTTAGTGTGTGGTCACGGCTGTGTGGGTCACAAAAGCCGCCGGCGAAGGACTCGGCCACTGCCACAGAGATGAAGTGGAGCAGAGCTGTTTGACACTGACACCAAAACATACACACACACACACACACACACACACACAAAGCAAACGTCCTCACTTTTATACCTAGACGTTTGGCACACAGTTGGATTCACTCTAGAACAGTTAGGTGAGCGAGGAGGAACCGTTTTGTTATATAATGTACATACAAAATATATCAAATATTAACATTGCAATAACTTTGGCAATCTAAATTAAAATAACACCATTATAGAGGTGCTGTAAGTAGTATGTTTGTGATAGTTTATGTAGAGTATGCATTATGCCAAAACTGTAATATATAACAATAATATAATGAGTTTTTAGTATTAGGAAAAATAGCTGAAATGGATTTTTAGCGTGTTCACTTAGTTCAAATGTGTACAGCATTTAAACGTAACTATAATCTACACTGCAAAAATTGGTATTCTATCATGTAAATTTATCTGAAATCTAGTTATGTCCAATATTTTTTAAGTTGAGATTGTTATAAGCATATTTTAAGATTATTTAACTTATTTCCAAACATTTTTTACTTGTTTTAAGAAATGTGCTTGAATTACACTAAATTATCTGCCAGTATAGTGAGAGAATTTCACTTAATGAAATTACTTAAAACAGGTAGAAAAAGAAAGGTAGAAATCAGCTAAATAATCTTAGAAATAAGTGCACAACCATATTAGACATATCGACCAGAATTAAGATCATTTCACTTGACAAGATACTAATTTTTTGCAGTGTTCTACATCAAGAGAGACTTTCAATTTGCTTACACTGGAAAAAATGGTATCTTGTCAAATGAAATTATCCTAAATATAGTCAATAAATCTTTTCCAATCCAATATGTCCCCTGTTGAGATTGTTGTCATTTTATTTTAAGATTATTTTAACCTATTTACAAACATTATCTACTTGTTTTGGGTTATTTTAATAAGAAAAATTATCTCACCATATTGGCAGATAATTTAGCTTGTTGTAAGAAATGTGCTTGAAGCCAGCTAAATTATCTGCCAGCTAGATAATTTT